CTGTTCTTTTACCTTATCACCCATTCCGTTGCTTGTCCCCGCACTTAATCCAGATATTTATGTCTCTTTAAAGCAGAGGCAGTGCGATGACACTATGAACCTCCAGCTGTGGAAGCGCGTGTGTCTCAAAAAAACGTCAAGATCAATTTAGGGTTAATAGTACCACGTTGTTTTCGCACAGAGTGGAGAGTCGCATTGGTCTTGGCAGCGTCCCCTATAAAGTTCGAGCTTGTGTGAAGGCCTTTTATGGTTATTAAACCGAGATCGCGCCCTGAGGAGACATTAGGGAGCGGACTTCCATTGAATGTATAGATCTTTCGCGTCCTAAAGAGGCAGAATATGCATGACGGAGCACTTCGGTTGGCTGAATTTCAAAACGTTTTTCTTTTCCCATTCCTCATTAGATGTAACGTCTTTTTGGAGCTCATTCGAATCCCCTTCGCACCTCATGGATTTCCAGATTTTTGCGTCATCTGTGTAGATCCAACTTTGTCTAACAGGTCGTTAACGAATATCAGGAGGAGAAGTGGACCTGAGATGGTCGTCTGTGAAACTCCCGATATTGAGATTCGCCAACTTTCATGAACTCTATTTACCTTGGTACGAAACTTTCTATTCTCAAGGTAGTTTCTGAGCCAAGATGCGAGTGGGTCAGTGAAGCCTATTTCCGTAACCTTTGTGACTAGGCCTGGGTGAGGTACTATGTCAACTGCTTTCGCACAGTCAAGAAATATTGTGTGCACCGGTGTTTTTCGGCACAAACATGATGTTTAACTGTCCAACGCTATTAGAAGATTGGATACGCATCAACTGCCTTACTGAAGCCCTTGTTGAGCTTTATTTTTATTTTATTCTTGTTTATGTACTCCATCCATCAACAATAGAAGAAATGATTAAAGTCACCAGGAAAATCAGAATTATTGAATCAGCCTGACTAGACAGCATACTTGCTGGGACATTGAGGCTAGGCATATAGATAAATTAAAGTTGCTTGACATTCTCTTAGGAAGGATATGGTGGAATGAACAAATACTAATCGACTGTTAGGAAGAGAAAGATCTTAGTAAGTGTGAAATCTACATTGGCATCATGATAATTTCAGTCTTAAATGAAGCTTCAATAGAGTGCTGCCAAACCAAATGAAAAACCCTGTTTGAAATGAACTGCATGATCACTAAGCTAAATTGCAGACCGTGGACTTGTGCATATTGTAGTAATACAGTCATGTACTTCTCTAAACTGTTAATACTAGTGTATTCTCTTGCCTATTAGGGATGTTTATCTTGTCTCCTAAGCAGGTAATACACACAGGCTAGTCTCCATACTAACCGTGATATGAACAAACAGGATCAGATTTAAGATGGCCAAACGTAAATCTGTCAGTCTGAACACTCTTACCAATAAATTATTTTTTTATGATACATCAGTTTTCTCCCGAAATAAACACCCCATACACAGAAATGTTGTCTCAAACCCAATCGTAAATTAATGTACTCATGTGCACAAAATACTATTTATTTAGGCGTCCTCATTTTGTCGATGATCACTCTTGGGATTTCCTCATCAGGACAGCATAGTTTCTTTAGATTCAGTGTTGAGAGTATCAGCGATATTAACGGAATCACAAAATGTTTTAGAACTAACTTTTGAACCCACAGCTAAGCACATAAATCAGAACAGGACCCGGGGTGGATCCGTATTTCCCAGCCCGTAATGAAAAATGACGGTAATTGCACATCAGCCAATAACACAAAATACCTGGTTAACCCACCAACTGAGGCCACTGAGACACTAAGCGTCATAATAATAATAATAATAATTATCACTATCTTAGAAACAAGCCATATTCAAATTAACTGAAGATGAAACATCGGAATGGTAACCAAAGGTTAAAAGTTTAGTCAACCACACTTGAAGATCGTACTCGTTCTTACAAGCTCAGTTCAGATTAAACTAAAGACACAGAACAGATCCAGGACTGGTCAGAATTATAGCGTATAAGTAATGACCGAAATAAAAACAATTCAATGAACCAAATTAAATACAAATTTGTTACGTCTTAGTTCTAAACTGGTGTTATCTTTAATTAATGACAAATGATACACGTAGATTGCGACACCAAATAACCCGAATCAAAAATCTGGTTCTGGAGTTAAGGTTTACTCATAAAATTCGAGTAATCGATACAAAATTTTCGTTCTTCACTGTTTGGGTTCCCAGGGTAAGATGCTTAAAATATCAAATTTAAAAGCACGAAACTGGAAGGCGACGAAGGCCGAAGTAATAAGTAGAGAAGCTCAAATCAAGAGGAAAACATATAATCCAGTCCCAACAAGTATGATGAGCTTCAAGGTAACATTTGACAGGTGAATACTGCGATCCTCCTGCAACAGGCATATATATCACTTTTAAAGAGAAACCAGTGTAGAGGATAACTTTGTTTCATGTCAGTTTTTCCCTCATCGTGCATTTGCATTCGCTTGAATAAACCTTACCTTGTCCTGCATATTTGAACATTTATCTTTCTTTTCTCAAATCGATTGAAGACTGCAAAGAAATTGAGGATGTGGTAGTATCAAATGAACATACCACTTTGCGGGATAACAAACTTTAATCTCGTAAATCTAGAAATCAGAGAAAAAACGATTCTAGATGAAGCAGTACATTTCTTGCTAGCGTCGTGATATCGAAAAATCACGAGACTAGGTTACAAGAGCGGCTAACGTCCGTGCAAGAGACGCGTGAAGGAGGAGAATGGGAAAAACACGCTTGGTGCTTGAAAGATAGTTTTTAGTACAGATAAACAAGAGGAGTACAATATAATCATTATTGTCGGAATTAAGTACAATAATAAATGTTTATATTTCAGCATTTGTGCTTTATTCATAAAAGTATACCACTACAAGAGTGAAATCAAAGTTTCCAGCGTTCTGTTTCTCTGCACTTATCGTTTATCTGATGATTCCACCATGCACGACAGACACCGAGATGCATGTAGCAAGCTATCAGTAGTGCATACAAATGGTAGGCAGTTCGGATGAGAAATTCTGTCCGATTTAATTTTTGAGCCCTCATGAAACTACATGCTGGAAACGGATTATAGCCACAAATCATCAAAATGGATAGAAGGATAAGTCTCCTGAATAGATGATGATCGTATAGCTTTGAATAAGCACGTGATCAAGAACCCACATGAAGTGACATTTCGACACTCCATGCAATGCAGCTCTACCGATGAACAACCAGCGTGGGATCTTCTACCATAATGTCTATTCTATAATTTTAATATATTTTACTTTTCTATCATCACTAACTTTTGAATGCACTGTCTTTAGAATCACTCTATCAAATAAAATTCCGGTGGTAGTGAAGTAATACTGACATATATTGTCACATTCTACCTATGCTAATCATGTTCGGAACTGTTCTGTTTTGGATGCTTCGATCGAAAACCTAGAGGACTTGCTTGATTGACCGGCCTCTGTTCAACTTAGACATTGATGATGGAAACCTTTACCTCGTATCGGATTCTCACTATTTGGTTGATACCTGACCTAGTTGGTGTGCTATCGTGATAACCTGATGAATCGGCTAGAATAAATGGCTTATTGGAATAATAGGATGTATCAGTAAGGACAGGTTGTTGATGTAAAGTGTAGAACTCTCGCTGCATGTTCTTAACCATGATGTGTTGCCTAGATCATCCTCGACCCTGACGCTACTCAGTAAACCATGCAAATGTTAGTGATGTGTTGTTCAACGCGTGAATAGTTTAGTCCGATGGACGATTTTGCCAGTAGTTATTGACACCTTACTGTATCTAAGGCTGTCAGTGAATGATGCAATTAATTTTTTGAGATTACGGTAATCATTGCCTGACTCCGCAACACAGTTCTTTTCACTCTGCTAAGATTTACGATTTTGATAGGCAGCGATGTATCTCTCCTTGATCTTTATTTCCTGCTTAAAATCTCACTGTTGTGTTGTTATGAAGTATTAACGCTTAGATTCGTAATTCTCCTATTTCAAAAAAAAATTTGTAATCAGGATGCTAGCACTAAGGTCGAAACACTTTGTAACCATCTAACCAGAGAAGCTTATTGTTCTATTAAAGGCTCGTATGAGAAATAGTATATTGAACTCAAAGTAGTCAAAAGTTTCTTTCCATTATTTGTCCAGTACCTACTCCATCATATCTCTCACTGATATTGGGAAATGGAGGTTTGACCAAAGAAATGAGCTTTATTAAACTCATGCAGAGCCAGCAAGTCGTCGGCATGCATAATACAGAATTATAGATAGGTATAAAGTCATGAGTAATAATTCTTGACACTATTACATATCACTAGCATGTTTCAAAACTGGAACGCAAAATGGTGGCTAAATTCAAAAGTAAAAAAGCACCACACAAGATATATCCGATGATTATAATCCTTGGGACTTATTACCGGTACAGACTCAGCTAAGAAATTATGCTGACCAATTCAGAAAAGGCTTAACGCTTCCTGTGAAATTAGAATACTGATCAGAACTAGTGAACGTGTCACAACACTACTACTAAGGACTTCTCTGGGAATGCCTTGTAGCCCATAACGCCACCTATTTGCAGTGACTGCCGTCAGAGCCATTCTAACTATCAGACATACCTAAATCTCCTGCTCTGTTAACGGACAATCAAGCGCAAATGCCTAGTTAGGTTATTCTTCCATCTCATTAATTGGTAAACAATTTGGAACGAAAAGTCGTTTCTCTCGGATCTTGTATCTGATTGTAGTGGTTCACCCACAAAAAGTAGATAACTTGTGTTCAACGGAAGCGTGCAGAGAACTGTTACACTAATGTTATGGCCCTTTACGTTTGAAAAGCGCACAATTTTTTAGTCATTTGTATACTTAATAAATTAAGTTATTAACCTTATATTCGGCAACTTTACTTCCAATTTCTTTCTTTATATAAATGTTTTAATTTTTGTTTGTTTAGTTACACACTACCTGCCTACTGAAAGCCTTATTCAGTAGTATACGTCGCCATTTTGCTGATTTAAGTAGGTTCGAATTGTGTCATTTTGGTGCACGTTCCCTCATATACACATGTGCTTTTCCGTTTAATAAGTTATATTTAACTGGTTAGTTAGTGTCTTACTCCATTATTCGTTGTCGAGTGAGGTGTCCATACGTTCTTTATAGATTGATTGTTTTTGTTCGAAGTTGCATGCACGCACACCTATTGGGTTTATTTTTACTGTATATAGTGATGGGTTCTCATGTCTTAACATAAATGTTTGTTGGTCAAATCATGTGTAAGTAATTGGTTGCATTTCCCCTTCGAACAATCACTCGTGCGATTATCACCCTCCCGGCATCCCGATTGTGCGTGACCTAGGTCCTTTATCAACAGAAAACGTGGACATCAACGATGACTATCAGGGACATACGGCTAGGATGTACCTTGTACTTCACTTCGAAAACAATTTTGTATACTGACTTCTGAGATTTCCTCGTTACTTTGTTGCCTACAGCTGCTCACATCTTGACTTTATACACTCACTAGTCCTACCTGCACACAGTTTCAGGATATATTGTTGTTGGCTTCTCCTGTCACGTTTTTATCGTTCATCTCTATTAATTTTCTGCCTTTGTGTACCCATCAATTTCCTTCTGTTAGTCACTGTGTTTTGACATAGAATCCTAATGCTTTATCTTACACATCCTGGTTATACAACGTTTTTTGATTACAACTATCCAGTCATTTACCCATTGAAGTCATAGCTTATGGTTCTAGTTACTTCATTGGTTCTCAATGAACTAATACACAGTCACGACACATCAAACTCCAAACAACTGATGTTTTCACCAGTACTTGTATTGTCTAGTGGTTTACAAAGATTCAAAGGATATTCATATAACCTATTATGAGCAGGAGTCTGTTGGGTTACTGTAATTATCTCAGGATAGTAATTAATATTCACGGGTTAATACTTGACCACATCATGAACGTCTTATTCATGAAATTGTCTAACCTACATAGGTTATGGAATATTCACACCCTTATTAACTGGTTTGCCTTCTTTGATCACCTTGTTTCATTACAAAAGTATTGCTTCTAAACTAATAGACGACTGTTATTAACCTACTCATATTTCTTGGTATCATAGAGGTGTCTTTTGCAACCATCATGAAGCAAGGAAGGATATCTGTGTGCTATGATCATATGTCAGTTATTCAGCAACGTCGTAGAACTTCGTACGTACATTCATCAGTCCAAGTTGCCATAGCACGATAGAGCAGAGATGCGATTGTTGAATCGATTCCCATAGTGGTAGAGGTAGTAGAAGTAAGAGCAGTAATCGGAATGATTAGAGTTTGAATGTGTTATTCAAGGAGTATAATCTAGTAAAATAAATTTGAGAAAGATGAAAGTCATGAGTAGTTCACATTTTAATTTGGGCGAACACAAAAGGTGGATGCACCTGTGCCATTGCAAACGATTTGGAGCCATGTCATTCAAGGTCTCTAACCATTGGTTACTATTCTCTCGCGGGTATGCTGAGAAGACGAATCTCTCATCCTTACTATGAGCTTTTTCATCATCAACCACAAAACAAGTAGGTAAGGTAAGACCTCCAAGAATGATGTCATTACAACCAAACACCACTCAGTATTTTAAGGCTAGACGTTAATGCATTCCAAAGATCTTTGCAGTTACACAAGGTTCCCTTGAAGGATTTTGTCAGGATTTTCACCGAGTAGACCATTTTGTCTTCGTAAGTTAGTGAGTCCCCAGATAAAGAATCATTCTCTTAAAGGTTAGATTGAGAAATTTTTATTTCTGTGTGCACAACTGTTTTGAAGTTGAATGAAAATGAAAAAAACCAGTCAGCTATGGTTTCAAATATGTATACTTAAATTCTAAAATGCATTTGACGTTTCTGGAATCTGCTTGGTTTTCTTGAGTTTACTAATCGCAAGCTCCGTTCAAACTTTGTGTACTTGGTACTGAATGCTAATGTTTCAGAAATTGTTAGCCGAACTGATACGTTTATGGGTATTATAAGAAAACTTCTATTATCTCATTGACTGTGACAATCGGTGATGCTGATTGTTCAGATGAAATTGCATAGTTTTTGTTAGTGAACATCAGTCAGTCAGATGCAACGTAGAACTTTGTACGTATGTACATCAGTTCATGTTGCCATACCTTATCAGCACAGAGATATAATTGTCAATTCAAATCTAATAGTAGAAGAGGTCGTAAAGGTATTAGAAGTAATCGGAGGGGTTAGGATTAGAAGATATTCAAGAAATATGATTCAGTGAGAAAAGTTTAGAAAGTGAAAACTAGAGGTGTTGAAGAATCCAGAAGATTAGGATTTGAGAGAGCACAAAGAATAAATGCACCGATGCCATTGCAAACGGTTTTGAGCCAAGGTCTCTAACCATCGATTATTATCATCTCGTGGACCCCAACCAGTTGGTCGACAACTACCGACATGGCTCAGTCCACTTGTCAATGACTTCATGGATTTCTGCCATATTTTATTTTGGCCTCCCCTAACTTTCTTCCAACCAAACCAAAAGAAGAAAATTTATATGTTAGTGAACATATTCTTCTTACAAATCAGAGATAAAGAAAATGGCGAACGTCCAGGGCCCCTATCATTATTACTTTTAATTTATGCACAATAAGGCTGCAAAAAAACAAACCACATAAAATGAAATAATGATATTGTGAAGAAATCGAAAAGTAAATGGTCTTTATTATCACTAACCAAGATTTCATTCATTTTGAAGGTTTCATGTTAGTGTTGTAAGAACTGTAGGAAAAAAAACTAGAACAGCGTTTTCTAGTTTGTCTCCGAAGTGATATTTAATGCATGTTTACGGCAACATGAACTGATGTACTTACGTACGAAGTTCTACGTTGCATCTGACTTACTGACTGACATGTTTACCGCAACTTCTGCATCCAAATAGGATCTTTTTGTAAATAGAAGTGTTAATTTTTTCTCATACTTATGGGTTGCAGTTCCATCATTAGTAATTAACACAATTCAATTGGCTGTTCTTTATTTTCTGTCATCTACGTTATAATCAGTCATTCTTCTAATATATATAGGCCTTACACCTTACTGCTGTCACACCTCTCTATAGTCAGCAGTACGACTTCGCCCTCAGACCTTGAGTAGCTGCTTTTAGTCTCATCGTTCTCTAATCGACCTGCCTGGCATGGTAGAACCTTCAGAAAGATATGTTGCAGCCAATATAGCTCGGTTGGATCATCACGATAGTCAAGCACGACCACCACGTCAAGGTAGCAGCTCCATTACTGCTAATACTCCTATTATCTATACCACTATGGGATTTGAACTGACAGTTGCTTCTCTGTGTTGATGTTGTATGGTAACCTGAACTTATGTACCCATGTATCAAGTTCTACAGTGTAATTGACTGACTGACAAGATGCGGGAATCTGTAAATAATAGATGAGTTGCATTACTTCAACTATTATCACCAATCTACTATTCTATAGTAGATCATTATGATCGAAGTGGTTGCTTTCGAGCTTCACTAATTGTAACTTACTACTTAGGTATCAGTTTTTCATTCTAAACTTTCAGTCATTGTATGTAGATTTTTATAGAACCTAATGGTTACTTCCCAATCTTTGCACATCAAGTTGAACAATATTTGACCTTATGGTTTTATCGTTAGATAAGAAATAACTAAACCACTTAATCACAATGTGATAGTCGTTTTGGTGCTAGTCAAGCAACCTATCGTTCGTTTATTCTTAGAAAATTCTTGCCTGGAAATTTTGATAATAAGGCATCAACGTATATTAAAAAAGCTCATTAATCCTGTGCATACATCGGGTTAGCAATGCTGTAGTTAAAAACACAGTACTAGGCAAGTGGTCATTCATTTGAAAAGAGAGTGAATCTTTATCGATGGAAACGTCAACTACGTGTATGATATATATTCATCCACTGAATACCTTAACGCTCAATAAATAGTGTGGTAGTAGTGGGCTGGGAGAAAGCTAAAGGCGGGGCAAACCGAGAAAGCATCAGTCGATTAAGACGTAAGCTGTTGAACTGATCTGTTCAGTTGCGTTCAGGCAACCTGGATAGGATCCTAGAGAATATCGTAATAAAAGGTTAAAGACTTCGGTTGACATGGATCAAAATCATTGTCAGTGATTCAAGTGCACTTATTCTTTGTCTCCCCTTAAATACGAAGTTTCCAGATCACTTCGTGAATTGTTTCGTTCTACTAATCCATATTTTATCTTCAATCTGTTTCTTAGATGCTTATTACAACTGATATTGTTACTACACCCACCATTTTCGGTTGCTTAATTAGCTTAATTAGCTACAACGTCAAAGTGTAGTGTTTAGATCCTTAAAGATATGTACTGGATACTTTTTTCCCAAATATCCTACCGGATGAAACCTATTTACGAAGTACGAATTTTTCAACTTGTCTATGAGTGCAAGTGATACTGTTCAAGTGTCGAAATCGCCATCAAGCCGATTTCTCATCTACGACTGAGTTGTTGAAATTTGAACACGGTAACTATTTAGTCAACACTCCGTTGACCAAACACTTCAAAATAATCGAATTAGGCAGTAGTGTGTAGTCTTTTAAACGGTTGTTAAATATATATCAGTAACCACTATATATATATGCTTCAAATATCATGTGCATACAGCAACATTTTCTTTACTTGAAGATCTGAAAATCTAACAGCTATCTTTTGAAGTAACACCTAGTCGGTATTTTGCTTGAATGTAGTATGGTCAATCTATTTGACAATTGAGAAATAACTTGTCCATTCAGTTGCTTCAAATTTTCCATCCATTTCTTATTTACTCCTTAATTTCATTTTTTTCTATGTAGTTCTAATTAATAAACTGAATCAATGAAACAAGAAGATCGTGGAAACACAAAATCCAGCACTTCTAATCAAGTCTCAACTCATGGTCGAAAACAGAAATCATCATCAAATAATAGTCGATCTAGCCGAAGTCGAAAATCTAAAGATCGTGGATCAAAACGAAAATCTCATGCAAAAACTACACCAGTTTCACAACCAACTGATACTGTTGTTTTAAAACGTAAAAAAAATGAACGTTCTAAACCTGTACCGGAAAAAACTCGTAATAGTAGTAGTAGTGGTCGTTGTACACGTTCTTCAACTTCTGCCGCTGCTAGTGCTGCTACTACTACTACTACCGCTACTGCTACTACAGTTGCTAAATCAACACCGAAATCTAAGTCATCCAATACGTCAAGAAAAAAAGAAACTTATTCATATTCCGATATGTTTATGGTTGATGATGATGATGATGAAGAAGAAGAAGAGAATGATGATTTAGATGAGAATGTTGACGCTGGAGATGAAGACAGTGAATATGCTCCATCAGATGAAGAAACAATGCATAAATTATCAAAAATACCAAAATCACGTAAAGGTGTCTCTTCACGTACACGTCGTAGTTCTAAAGCTCAATTAACCGATAGTTGTGATGTAGAAGAAGAAGAAGGTGGATCCACGGAAGAAGATGAAGCTGGTGAATCAGAATCCGAAGAAGAAGAGGATGATGATGAAGAATTAGGTGATTCTATTTTACTGAATCATTCCGGTATGAATGGTGATGTCCCATTGCAATTATTTGAAGATGAAAGTAATCATGTACAAAGAGATATTTATGATTTTGATGCACAAAGTATCATTTCTGATAAACGTGCTACTTCATTAAAGAAAAAATTACCGCCGCCAACTAACAATGTGAGCAATCGTAGTATGCATGTTAGTCGATCAACACGTAGATCCACATCGGGTAAGGGAACTAGTTGGGGATCATCGAATATTTATAGTGCACTTGCAGCCGCTTTGAAAACACGTGCTGATTTAGATGCATATTCAAGTTTTTTAAAATCAACCATTCTTAATGCTAGTTTTGATAAATTTCTAGCTGAATTATGTAAACCTAGTAATCAACATGCTAATTTATTTTATGGTGCATCAGCTAGTTTACAAAGTCTTATGAGTCGTATTAATGATCATGATAAAGTAGTAGAATTATTGCATGCATTTATTTCACGTCCACATGATCAATTACATCATCGTTTAGTGTATTTTATACCAATCATTCATCAACCATTATTTGGTGTTGCACATATGACACCAATAAGTCAACATTTAGAAATATTAGCTAAACATATTGATGAAGAATTAATTATTAAACCAGCTTATATATTAAATCAAGAAACAAATCTATTGGCTATACGTAGTTCAGTTGCAAGTGATTTTGGTGTATCGAATACACAATACAACTTTATTACAGGTGCTGGTAATTTAGGACGATATATGCCAGATATTTATCAGTTGATTGTACCATCGGATTTATATCAACGATTAACTGAATTAGTTGCATTGCCATCGGAGAGAATTTATGAATTAGCATTGGCCAGAGTACATCATCGTCAACAACAACAACAACAGGATAATGATGAAGCTGATATTGATATTAGTCCACTTGAACCACCGAATTTACAAAGAATTGTTTTAGCTATTAATAAAGATGGTCAATTAATTGGTATAAGTATTTTAGATACATGGAATAATAGTACTACTACTACTAGTAATACTACTGATATACCATATAATCATAGAATAAAAACACCAATTAATTTAATTGATATAAATTCAATATCGAATAATACAAATGGTACAATGATCAATCAAAATGGTACACAAGAACAAGAAGAAGTAGTAGAAACAAATGAAACTAGGGAAGAACAAGTTCGTGAAGTATTAGACAACATGATTGATTGGATTGTTTTAAAATCTGATCCTAAAGATTATTATAATAGTTCTGCGAGTAAGCGCGCAAATAAACAAACATCATCTGTACTTGGACCAATACGATTTTTGGATGCATTTATTGTGAAACCAAATGGACGTCGTGATACGTTGTTACTAGTTGCACATCCTGTGAATTGTCATCCATCTGAGAATACAACTGCTGCTGGTGGTGATGGTGCTACTCCTACTGCTGAAAGTGATAATTTCTTTGTTTATTCTATTGTTGATGAATCAAAATTTTGTTTAGAAAAGCATGGATTTATGCCAGAATTATCGATAGCACTTGATGGTGTACATACAGTAGATCCAGATGATATCATTGAAGATAAATCTGTACTTGTAGTTCCCGACTTGTTATTTGATACTTTAAGAAAAGTAATGCTACGTGAATTAGCTAGTTCTAGTAGTACAGCAGCAGCTGCTGCAGCTGTTGTCGCTTCGTCAAGACCAGATACTAGCACAACTCTCCCATTGACATCAACTGGTCCTGCAGCTGTAATACATTGTACAAAATTTGTTATATTAGATCGTCAACGACGTGTACCACTTGCTATAGCATTTGATTCACCTGTACGTTTGACTCTTCAAGTAGCAGATGACAAACTGGGTCTACATCCATTTGGTGAATCTGCTTCTATGAATTTTGATCAAATTACACCGTCAGAATTAAAATCGTATGAATCAACATTTAAACCAACTTCAGCTGAATATCGTTTAGTTGCTATTAATGGTTTATTATATGGTTTACAAATTGATGATCAACGTATTATTCGTCGTATTATAGAAATTGTCCCAGCACGTTATGATTCTATTTATCCACATACAGGAAATCCATCACTATGTGCACAATCTATTTCTGCAGCACATATGTCTTGTCCATCTAATGTTCGAATTGTGAATGATGAAACGAATAGTTCAACTGTTTTACCAGCATTTTATTATCCTCATTATGAACAAATCAAACTGTGTAATGTTGTTTCTGGTTTCACTGATCAATTATGTAGTTTGCTTTATGAATTACCTGTTTCAATTAGTCTATACGATGTGGTATTACGTATGGCACAAAAATATATGCCCGAAATATTAGCCAGACAACATATTGAAGCAGCCGAGGCTGCAGCATATGCTGAAGCTGCTGCAAATCCACATGCTCCACCACCATCACCTGTCCCCCTACCAGAACATTGGGGTGTTTGTTGTTTATGTGCTAAAGAACTACGTTCACCAAATGGTTTATTGGATCATGAAATGAGACATTTAGGCTTGTCTAGATTTCGTTGTGGAATTCATAATGTCTCATTCTTAGATCGTCGATCATGGCAAATTCATATGAATGAACATCATTCCTGTTCACGTACAGGTTCATTATCTGTACTATTACGTTCTAATCCAGTAGTAGCAGTAGTGAATCAACAAAATGATTCTGGTACTAGTGAACAAGATGATGATGAAGGTGATGATGATGAATTAGCTGAACAAGAAATTATTCCTCCAGGTAGTGGTTTACTTGCTGGACTTGCAAATGTTTTTAATACAAATTTATTAATTGGTCGAATGGAATCATTACAATGTGAAAAATGTAGTGATTATTTTCCATCCGCTGAAATACTTGCACAGCATTTAGATTTTTGTGATGGTGTTAGTTTTTCACTTCGTACACCTTTAACTCGAACAGGCAATAGTAGTAGTGGTGGTGGTGGTGTTCCGAAACCGATCTTAACAGATGATTCATATGTTAGATCTGGTGATGATGTATCTATTGAGGCTTCTTCTGTTCAGAATACTGATGAGATCACTTCGGACGCTAAAGATGATGCATGTGTTTGTGGTATATGTGGAACTCAAGTGAATTCACGTGATAAAATACTAAGACATTTCACCGTGTATCATCTTCAATGTATTTTGTGCCAGAATATTCTTCGATCAATGGAAGAATTATCTGATCATTATCATACACACATAAAAACCGATGCACCAAATGCTTTGGAAGAATCTGACAATGAAGAAGCTGATGAAGGAGTAAAAACGGATCCAGATAAAGAATCAAACCTTAAGTCGGGTACAAATAAAAAATCATCGAATAAATTGATGACATGTGACATTTGTACCGAGTTTTATGGAACCAAGTATAATTATTATTTTCATCAATGGGCAGAACATGGTGTAGTACATCCAGGTGATGGAGTATCAGAAAGTATGCTTCAAATGTTAACTCATACACGACATCTTCGACAACGTGTCGATAAAGAAGATCTTTCTTCACTTGGTATACGTAAAATGAAATGTAAACTATGCGGATTTGTTGTTCGTTGCAGTGGTAAAGATTATATACAACATCTTAGTGAAAAACATAATATTCATACTACTCTCGATGATATTTGTCGTATTTGTGCTGATGTTTTTGAATCACCAGAAGATCTTTCTGCTCATCTTGGTGAAGTACATTTTCCAACTGGTGAATTTGCGAATGCTGGTGTTCAAACCATATTTCGTTGTACACATTGTGAATTTTGGGGTTTTAATAAAGGTCTATTAAGACATTCACGTGATGCACATGATGATCCATTTCCATCAATTTATGAATGTATTCATTGTTATGAGAGATTTATTGATAAAAGAGTATGGCGTGCTCATATGGATAAACATAATGAAGGTTATTCACATCGATGTATGGAATGTGGAAGGGCATTTCGACTAAGACCTTCACTGCTTCATCATATACGTTGTCATCATGGTGATGATCAAGGACCAGCGACATGTGAATATTGTGGTTTAATTTATCCGAAACGATCATCGTTAAGATATCATATCTTTCGAATGCATAATCAAGTGAGAAATCATTCTTGGGATTTTATTAAAACCATTGATATGTTTACTTTTATCCTTTAATAATATCTTTGATGTTTTAGTGTTGGGGAAAAACTTTTGTTTCGAATGAAGAAATTACCTTTTCCTCATTTATGTGAAGAGAAGAAATTGATTTATTTTTATTTAGTCAAGTAGACAAAGCGGTTGGCATATGTGTAACATATGTCCAACCGCTGACCACCTCAACGATCTATGATTTGTGGTGTAGAAGGATAGGCTGGAAGAAAGCCAGAGGTGGGCGAACCAAAATATGGCTTAAATCCATGAAGTCACTGACAAGTGGATTGAGCCATATTGATACGTGTAGAATACCTAGTTGAGGTCTTCGAGATGATAGAAATCGATGGTTATAGACCTTGAATCACAATGTTTCGGATGCATCTGTTGTTTGTGCTCTCTCAAGTCTGATCTTGTGGATTCTTCATCATCTTTCTCTTTTTAAATCTATTTCGCTGTTCCATACTTCCTGACTAAATTTTTCGAACCCTAGTTTTCTCCATTACCTCTACTACTTCTATTACGTCTAGTACAAGGGGATTTGAATTAACAATTTCATCTCTTCCAGTCAGTCAGTCAGTCAGTCAGTTGAAACGTAGAACTTCGTACGTACGTACATCAGTTCAAGTTTCCATACCACATTAGCACAGAAACGCCATTGTCACTTCAAATTCCCTAGTAGTAAAGGTGGTAGACGCATTAGCTGTAATGGAGAAGATTAGAGTTCGAAGATGTTATTCAAGAAGTGTATTTCAGTGAAATAAACTTGAAAAGCGAAAGATGAAGGTGATCAAGGATTCAGAGGATTAGGATTTGAGATGTTAGGAATCAATTCATTTTGAGCCAGTGTCTACTAGAATGCTATGGAGGGTGCTGAATTTCACAGTTTCTATCACAGACTGATATTAGTTCAACAATGACTGGAAATCAGGAAGTTTTTTGTGTGGCTTTGTAGTAAACGAGAACACAGGTGGGGCAACCGAATTGTATTTAGCGAAAATTGCAGAGTTACTCAGTAAATTAGGAAAACCATATCGTCCATCATATCGAACTGGACTGTTCCTGTTGCAAAACACCTATCCATTGTCACTCACTATTCATGCGTTTCATACAAATTTCATTGTTTTCTAACTCTTCCTTTCTTGATCTTCCCCCATATTCTGCTGCCAGAGATTACGTTGACACTCACGTCATATACTACTTATAAGTAGCTCATACCACAGCTTTACCGTCCCCATACAAGATTCATTTCATTAATATGAAGGTTAAGCCCTTACCACTGAACCCAAAAGTCTTGGGTTGGATTGTCGATGGTGTTGTGGATGCGTATTTCTCAGCAGTTCCCATACTGGGACGAAATATGTGTCTAGCGTCCTATGATTTTCATTGGTTGTCTAACTGAGATTCGATCGTGATATCAAAGTTACCGATTATTGCTTACGTAAGTTATTAGAGAGAAAAAAGTACTCGGTCAAATTATTGCAGTACTTACTTACGCCTGTTACACCCAATGGAGCATAGGCCGCTCACCAGTTTTCTCCAACCAACTCTGTCCTGGGCTTCCCTCTCCAGTTCTGTCCAATGTTTGTTCATTCCTCTTATATCTTTCTCTATTTCTCGGCGTAGTGTGTTCTTTGGCCTCCTCTTTTCCTTTTGCCTTGAGGGTTCCATGTGAGGGCTTGTCTCGTGACGCAGTAAGGTGCTTTTCGTAGTGTGTGTCCTATCCACTTCCACCGCTTCTTCCTGATTTCCTCCTCCACTGGAATCTGATTTGTTCTCTCCCACAGTTCGTTGTTGCTGATGGTGTCTGGCCAACCAATACGAAGTATTTTGCGTAGACAGCTGTTAATAAATACTTGTATCTTGTGGATGATGGCTTTGGTAGTTCTCCATGTTTCCGCTCCATACAGTAGCACTGTCTTGACATTTGTATTGAAAATCCTGATTTTGGTTTTGTTTGAAAGTTGTTTGGAGTTCCAGATATTTTTCAGTTGTAGAAATGCAGCCCTCGCTTTGCCAATCCGCGCCCTCACATCTGCATCCGATCCACCTTTCTCGTCGATGATGCTGCCCAGATATGTAAAGTTGTTAACGTCCTCGAAAGCATCTCCATCAAGCGTGATTTGGTTGGTGCATGTTGTGTTGCATCGGAGAATTTTGCTTTTTCCTTTATGAATGTTGAGACCTACTGCTGCAGAGGCTGCTGCTACACCAGTCGTCGTCTCTTGCATTTGTTGTTGAGTGTGCGATAGAAGAGCCAAGTCATCTGCGAAGTCCAGATCGTCCAGCTGCGTCCTAACTGTCCAGTCGATACCGTGCTTCCCTCCAAATGTTGACGTTTTCATAATCCAGTCGATGACCAGGAGAAAGAGAAAGGGTGAGAGTAAGCAACCTTGCCTGACACCGGTCTTCACCTCAAACGAGTTTGTCAGCTGACCTCCGTGCACGATTTTGCAGTTGAATCCATCATAAGAATTCCGTATGATGTTGACTATTTTCTCAGGCACACCGTCGTGTCGAAGAGGCCTCCACAGTGTTTTCCTATCCACGCTATCAAATGCTTTCTCGTAGTCGATGAAGTTGATGTAGAGTGGTGAGTTCCATTCAATTGATTGTTCCACAATGATCCGTAATGTAGCAATTTGGTCAGTACACGATCGATCCTTCCGAAATCCAGCCTGTTGATCTCGAAGTTGGGCGTCTACGAAGTCCTTAAATTATTGCAGTAGATCACAATAAACTGTGTTATTCTGTGTTATTTACAGACAGGCAAATTCCAAATGAAGACAAAAATCACATTCAATCGTTTCCTTTTTTTTTCGAGACCTTTAACTCACTGCATAAAATTGGAAGACTTTTGTATAAAGTTCATATTTTTGCAAAAATTATCATAATTCCAGTTTTCTTTATTCAATACAAATCATTTCTTCATTATTGTATTCTTCTTAACTAATTAATTTTTTTTTACTAGGAATTAGCTCATGAATGCTTTATGTGTCAACGACGTTTTCGTCTAGAAACAGAATTAAGACGTCATGTCAAGGAAATGCATAGTGGAGCTGTAAAATGTGAAATATGCCATAAAGTATGCGCTAATCTAAGATGTTATGCACAACATAGACAAAAACATTTTCGTACACGTATTTATCAATGTACTGATTGTCAAACAACATTTAAAAGTAAATTAGCTATGAAACGTCATATTCGTGTGGAACATTTACAATTAGGTCCGGAAAAATTTGAATGTCAAATATGTGGCAAGGTAAGAGTTGTCAAAGTTGTTGATATATATATGTTTTTGAAATTTAATTTTATTCTTTTGGAACACATTGGGGTTTTTTATTTCTTTCAATAAGTAGTTATTGATACAGTAGAACGAAGCACTGGATTTGTGAGTGAGCTAGTGTACTTGTAGTGAATGAGAACACAGGTGGAGTCAACCGAATTGTATTTAACGAAAATTACAGAGTTACTCAGTAAAATCGGAAAACCATATCGTAAATCGTTCATTTGCAAAAGATCAGTTCATCCTATGGAACTGGAATGTTCCTGTTGCCAAACATCAATCCATTGTCACTATTCATGTGTTTCATACAAATTCCATTGTTTTCTGACTCTTCCTTTCTTGATCTTCCCCCTATATTATGCTACCAGACTTTACGTTGACACTCACGCTATATACTACTTATAAGTAGTTCGCACCACAGCACCACATACTGACCGAATGTCCGAACCCCTAGCCAAATGGTTTTCTTCAATGTCATTCCTTGATTGAGCCTTTGACTTGCAGGGTCTAGTTCCTAAGGTGGTGATGGAGCAACGTTAGTAAATTCAGTGATTTTTGGTGAAAGATTCCTGTTCTAATCATCGTGATTACGATATCAAATGAATAAATTAATTATCTCGAAATAAGTTGAATTAATACATAAGACTAAAGAAAGTTGGGATATTGCCAACTTAGGTATACGTACGAATCAGTGTTTAAATCTTTTATTTTATTTAAGCATATAGACATTTGTAAAAGGTGGGCCCCCAACGATTTATTCGTCACAACATTGTTGAATTTATGAGGGCTTGTGATACAGTCCGAATTGTCATACCGAATTAGATGGTTTTCTTAGAGGGGGCCATACCGTGAGCTTCTGACTAAAAAGTTTAATTCATAAGATAGTGGACACAACATCAGTAGATGTGTTCCCATAGTAGCCATTCACCAATGATAGGTTTAAACGCCATTCGCTCCCTCAGGTGGATCTTTCTCATCCACCCACTCATCCAGTGTAAGCTCATGTTGGACTCTCAGTTTTCGTCCTCTTAAATTCGTGGAAAACATTTTTAATAGGAAGAGGAGGACGTCCATGGTATTAGCTTTATACACCTGGTCATATGTAGGCAATTTCGAGAGAAAGCGAACTCTCTCTTCACTCTCTACTCTCATCCATATCAGAGTATTTGAGGCACTTGGTGATTAGTTTAAATTATTCATTCCACAATCCCATAAACAGGAATCGAACTGTTGTTCTTCTGTACAAATAGTTTCTCAAGAGACATTTTCATATTGTCTTTGCGCAACACAATCTAATCTTTACACATTTGAAATCATCAATCAATCATTGTTAGACCACCACCATTAAAAACCTGGAAGCACTGAACGGCGCACTGCTGATGAGTCCCATGCACCAGGACGAAACGGCCGTCTTAAGGTGGTGCTTCCGCGTTTCTAATAGTGGTTTAACTATGATTGATTGATGATTTCAAATGTGTAAAAAAAATCGCAAACCTCCAAAACTGTGCCCCAAAATATCGTAACAGTACTCACTAGTGACTAGTAGCTTCGTGAGGAAATTCTCGGAGTTCTAGTTGAGAAGACGTGACCAATGGAGTAGTTCAACCCTGTCGGGTGTAGGCAGTAACTACCAAAAAAGACAAATGGGTGAGGTCGCGCAAAATCCCTAGATCAATCAAAGTTAGATATTAACAGCGTTGGATGCCGGCCCAGTGGTCCGCTGGTAAGGCGTTCGCCTACAATGCCAAAGGCCCCGGGTTCGAATCCTGCGGGGTGCATAGTAGTCGTGGATGCGCACTGCCACTGATGAGTCCCATACCAGGACGAAACGGTCGTCTTAAGGTGCTTCCAGGTTTCTAATGGTGGTTTAACTATGATTGATTGATGATTTCAATTGTGTAAAAGAAACACAAACCTCCAAAAACTCTGCCCGAAAACAATCTAATCATTTTGATATGATTATTATTATCATTATTATTATTATTATTACTTTTCTTTTGAATTATATAGATTGTTACACAAATTGGTATGCATATGTTAATCCATAAAGAAGCACGTTTTGAATGTGAATATTGTAATAAACGTTTTACTAAAGCTGCTTATTACAATGAACATTTACGTATACATCGTGGTGAACAACCATTTGAATGTCATATATGTAGAAAACGTTTTAATAAAAAATCTAATCTTAATGTTCATTTGAAATTTCATGAAAAACATCGTGATGAAGAAGGCAATGTAAGTGTATATTTATATTATGTTGTATGATATGTTGTATTTATTATGTATGGGCTTTGTATAGTGAGTAAATTTGTAAAAACTTCAGCTGTATGCATCGATTCATGAGATCGTTTATCTCTGTGCTAGTTTGGTATGGCAACTTGAACTGATGTACGTACGTACGAAGTTCTATGTTGTTATTTTTGACTTGACTGACAAGTTTGACGCAGAATTCTTTTAGTCACGATCTGATCTTAGCTGGACCATTCCTCAATGCATCTGAGAGATATCTTTTTTTAGTAAGGTATTCCTCAGAAGTGGGAATCCTTCATTCTGTATGTGGAAAATCGAACCTAGCATCTTCGGTTTTAATCGAGAACACTTAACGTTTAAACCACTGACTCGACATCCAACGATTTTGATGTCTAAATTCAATTAATTTGCAATATTGCTCAGTTCTTCATCCATTTCCTACAAATCAATCAATCTCTGTTTCATATTCGGCAAATTGAACTCCACTCATCATGGCTGTACAAATGCTCAAAGCTAAGAGAAAAAGACAGAATTTATTGTATTTAGCCGTAATTACAGTCAATCTGTGCGGTTGTAGACATGAGTAGGTATCACCCTCTATCTTTCCATTTTTAAATTTATTTCACTGAATTATACTTCTTAAATAATGTCCTCGAACCCTTATCTCTCCATTTTTTACTGTTAATACTTCTACTACTATGTGATTTGAATTGACAATTGCTTCTCTGTAATAATGTGTAGTATGGCAACTTGAACTGATGTATGTATGTACGCACGTACGAAGTTCTATTTTGTAACTGACTGACTGACTGACTGAAGTAGGTGTCAGTTTCTTATTTTTTATTCTCGAATATATTTTCTCCAAATCTATTCAGGAATAAGTAAATTGGATTGAGTGATGTATAGCTTAATCCTACAGATGAAATTGATGACAGTCAACTAAACAGACTTGTCTACTTACTTAACATTTTAGTGTTTATAGTCATCAGCTCTTTCATCATTGTGGGTGCTTATGTAATAAAAAGACCCCTGTAGTAGGTATGGATTTTATTGTTTCTCATCGTTTTTCCACCTTTAAAAGGTTAAATTTGTGTCAATGTTTTCAGATTCTTTGTGTGCATCTCAAACTCTAGTACACGAACTGCATAATAGTATTATACTTTAAACTTTAAGAAATCATTGATAAAAATCATACAATCTCCATAAATCCCCATTCACTAATAATCATCATGTGTACACTTGTGGCTAGTTCCAATATGAATTCTTAAAATTCTAATAAGAAGCTGTGACCAATGAATTTCGATGTGTGTCCGGTGTGAGGTAGTTACTCACTGAAAATTATAATTGATTGTAATCGCGCAATATCGTGAACAGATTGAAGTTGGGCGTTAACGCCTTCGGATGCCGACTCAGCAGTGGTCGAGTGATTAAGTGTTCATGCGCAAGACCAGAAGTCTTAGGTTCAATTCTCGATAACGGAGTCGTGGATGCACTACACTACTAGGATGAAACAGCTGTTCAGTGCTTCTGGCAACCTCATTTCGTGATTTCAACTATGTACAAAATCCTGACCATCTCTTATGTTTCAACTTCATGTTTATCGAATTAGCTTATTACAAATCCACGGTTTATAATTAAAATTTTATTTCATTATGTTCTATCAGTCAGTCAACAGCAACGTAGAACTTTGTACGTAAGTATATCAGTACAAGTTGCCATACCACATTAGCACAGATACGTAAATTGTCAATTCATATCCCATAGTAGTAGAGGTGGTAGAAGTATGAGCAGTAATCGGAGAGATTAGATTTCGAAGATATTATTCAGGAAGTAGAATTCAGTGAAATAAATTTAGAAAGAGAAAGATAAAGGTGCTGAGGAATTCAGAAGGTTAGAATTTGTGAGAACACAAAGAATGCATGCACCTGCGTCCTTGCAAACGATTTTGAGCCATATCATCCAACGTCTCTAACCGCCGATTACCATTATCTCGCGGACCCTAGCTAGTCTACACCAACCAACACGGCTCATTCCACTAATCAGTGACTTCATGGGCTTGTCCCATGTTTCGGTTTGGTCACCCCTAGCTTTCTTCCATCCTACTCCTCATACACCACAAAACATACGTCGTGGACGTAGTCACTGGTCCGTCATACGTAGCGTAGTAATAACAACCACATAAAATTCCTTCTATTTACAAATGAAAGCGTAACAACATTCACCTGTGTGTAAGAAAAATGGTTAGTTATTTTCAAAACGAACTTCTACCAGTCAGTAAATGTTTATTGCTTGCCTGAAATAAATGTAAACGAAAGCTGTATATAAACATCAACTCAGCGTAATTTGACTCATTTTTAGTGTATGTGTATATATACATATCCCACTTTTATGTTCATGATGTGTCGACTACGTGGTTAGGGTCCGCGAGTTAATAGTAATCGCGATGGTTAGAGACCCTGAATGATATGGCTCGAAACCGTTTGTAATGACGCAGGTGCATTCATTCTTTGTGTTCTCACAAATCCCAAACTTTTTAATTCTTCATCACTTTATCTTTTTAAGTCTATTTCACTCTAGATTCTGCTTCCGATCCTTAACTCTCCGACTACTGCTAATACCTTTATTATCTCTACTACTATTGGATTTGAAATTGACAATTATATCTCTCTGTGTGTTATGTGGTATGGCAACTGGAACTGTGATGTACGTACGTACGTACGAAGTTTTACGTTGCTATTGATTGACACGTGACTTGTGGTTTTTTTCTCTATCCTCCCTTAATTCAATTCAATTCAATTCAATTCTTTTTCTTTTAGTATCTTGAATTAAAACCACGTGGACGTATCAGTACAATGTTTGGTGATGCACTGATGAGTCCAAGTGATAGAGCAGCACGACAAATTGCCGCTGCAAGATCAGCCAATAATCCACCAATGATTTATGTACCAAAAATTGATGTTGCAGTTGGTAGTGATTTTCCTGGTGCATTCAATTGTACCGGTCCAGCTGGTGCAGCTGCTGAAGCTGCATCACGTGTTGTAGAATTATACGGTCTTGATAATAATAATAATACTAATAATAGTAATAACACTGACAACAACAACAACTCATCGATACATCATCATCTGTCGAATTCCACTGATTTTATATTAGAACCAGTTAGTTTAGATAATTTAACGAATAGCAGTGAACCTTTGTTGAAAAAACAACGTTTCATGTAAAAATAAAACAATTTTGGAAAAAAAAGCAAAGATGAATACATTTCCCCCCCCCCCCATTGTAATCATAATCAATAATTGGTAAGTTTATGTTTTGTGTTTTTTGATGGAAAATTTAAATTTTTTCAATTGTTTTTTACAAATTACACATTTTTTTAAAAACACGAATCGATCAATGTTAGACCACTATTAGAAACCTGGAAGCACTGGACGGCCGTTCCGTCCTGGTGTGGGACTCATCGGTGGCAGTGCGCATCCACGAATGCCATACACCCCGCAGGATTCGAACCCTGGACCACTGAACCGGTATCCGACGGTGTTAATGTCTAACTTGATCAAATTCACGGAGTTGCGCAACGGGCGTTCGGGCACAATACCGAAGATCCTGCGTTCGAATCCTGCGAGGTGCAGGGGTCATATATGCGCACTGCTGAGGAGTCCCATACCACGACAAAACGGCCATCTTTCAGTGCTTCCAGGTTTCTAATGGTGGTCTAACATTGATCGATTCATAGTTTCAAAAATGTATAACTTAACACAATCTTCACAACCCCGTAATGTTTTTACAAATTGTCATCATTCTATATTAATCGGGTATAATTTGTTTAATGGTGTAATTATTGTACACTGAAACTTGAACAGTTTTGTTTTGAATTAATATATATGGGCTATGTGTTAGTTTGTTTTCACACACACACACGCACGCACACACATCAGGCATGTCTATATGATGCATAATCGATTCAGGCGCGTGTATGTACAATCCAGGTTGATATCACTGATATGCTCGTCACGATAGCCTACATTCTAATCCGTTTGTCCACGGCCCAGTTAATTAACTGTATCAAGAAGTCTTGATCAGGTGTAGAAAGTCTATTCTATACAAACACCCAGAAAATACGAGGTTGTTAAGCACACAAATCAAGCTTATGCGTACAATGATAGAGACGCCGTTAGGAGAGCCACATTGTGGTGCGCGCTACTTATAAGTAGTATATGACGCGAGTGTCAACGTAATGTCTGACAGCAGAAGTTGGTGGAAGATCAAGGAAGGAAAAGTGTTGAAACACAATGGAATTTGTATGAAACGCATGAATAAGTGAAATGTCACTAATAGCGATTAATTGATTGTCAAATGTGTTCATGAGCAATTACAATTTGTGATAATTACTTATGTACAACTGCTAGTTTCTCAATAGTTTTTGTGTTCTACACGATTGTACACGACAACTACTACTAGGTGGTAGAAGTAGTAGGTATGAAATTGGGTGTTTTTTCCAGTTCATACATAGACAGACAGATACAACGCAGAACTTTGTACGTAAGTACATCAGTTTAGGTTGCCATAACACATTAGCACAAAGACGTAACTGTTAGTGATAGCGATAATAGAAGTATTAGCAGCAATGGAGAAAATTAGGGAGCAAAGATATGATTCGAAAAGTATAATTCAGTAAGATAAATTTAGATAGAGAAAGATAGAGATTATCAGGAGTTCAGAAGGTTAGAATTAAAAAGCACATGAGGAGTGGATGCACCTGCGCCATTGCAAACGATTCTGAACCATGTCATTCAAGGTCTCTAAGCATCAGTGACTTTCGTCTCGCGGACCCCAACCAGGTAGCCTACATCTAACAACATGACTCTCAGTCCACTAATCAGTGACTTTATGGATTTGTGCCATGTTTTGGTCTGGCCACCCCTAACTTTCTTCCAACCTACTCCTACACCACAAAACATAGCTCGTCGAGGCAGTCGGTGGTTAGGCATTCATAACACATGTCCCAACCACCTCAACTGATGAAGTTTCACCACTTCATCTGTTGATTTGCCATCCTTACCTAGAACGCAATACATACAGATAACATCTATACACAGTCACATAAGTTGGTATCTATCTGTGCTACTTAAAACCCTGGACAGTAAAGTAGTAGTATAACATACAAACGAAAATAACTGACACATTTTTTGTGATAATCGCACTCTTTATTTTTTTATTTTCATACTTTTACAGTGTTCCCCCCGACGGCCATTCACCTTTTTTTGTATCGATCAGGATTCAACTACTGAAATTCTGCATAAAATTCAAATTGTCTCTTTCTCTTTCTACTCTTATTTCCCTATTCCTTTTTCTATCTCTCTCCCTCATGCTCAACTTGTTTCATGTGTATGGCATTTCATTTCATTTCACCATAGTAATGGATACCAACTGGAATATTTTTTCGTTCTTCCGAATAGCAAAAACACAATCATTGCTTAATGACGATTCATTCATTCATTCAATCATACAAAAATATATATACATACACAGACTATCTATCATTCATTACACGGAATTAGGCTGTCCCGTATTTTTTTTCTTGAGATACTACTAACACCACCACTACTCCATGTTACATTTGTCTATGGATGCTCTGTTCGATGCCAACAATTCCGTTTGTGTACAGGACTCACTTCTTTCGTTCGTATTTTTGTGTGCAGCAGAACTTTTATACTTTTTATTATTATTCATGCATCGATCGGATTGTGTATTATATGCAGTGTACTACTATTTCTATTTTGTCTTGTCTCTGTGTGTGTGTGTGCGTGCGCGTGTGTGCGGGTGAATGAGTGAGTGAGTGCAAAAGTGTGATTTGTTCCCATTGATTGATTGTTGCTATTAGTATGATCATTATTATTTTTATATACTGATATTATCTAATTTTTTTGTAGGATATAAGTAGTAGTCGTGAAATCGACACACACGCACACCGACCAACATACACACGATAAACATTACTGTACACTATTTTGTTGACAATTGATCGAATTGTACACTATGGTTTATCTGCATATATATATATATATATATATATACATACATATATTTTTTTTCTAACGTGTTGTACAATTGAATTTATATATATATGTAATCTTTCCTTTTCTATATATATATGTGTATGAATTGTTAATGGTTGGGTTGGTGAAGTTCATGAAAGGAAATTAACTCAGCTTTCACCATATATATTTAACTAATTCAATATTGGAATATGGTGAACACACACAAAGTCAGACGAGAAGTATTTTTGGTCAGTTAGTATTGTAACGCTTGCTTGAATAATTAATTTCCAGCTAATTCTTATTGCTTAGTAGTATTCTCTGACCACAAACAATACACTGGACAAGTTTCAAAGAAATCAAAAACACGGTGGAACAGAAAAGGATTATTACTCCTAATAGCAAGGTTAAATGGAAATAGGAAGCCGAAGGCGTAGGCAAAAATAGACAACGTTAGTTTCTTTATAGCATTTACATGAGAAGCTTCTGGATTGTAATTCACGTGATTGACTGGATTATAGATTTAACCAATCAGCGTGCAGCTAACAACATGAGAATTTTTTAGTCTGTTCCCCAAGAATCGATCAGGCGCTGATTGGATAGGAAATTAGCCAATCAGCGCGCAGCAACTTAGCCATGCTTTAATTCCATCTATGTCCCGCTGACAATTACTTCCTTATTTTACTATAAGTAAAAGTTAAACAATGTTTTGTTTGAAACTATGCGTCGATCATTGCTAGACTAGCATTGGAAACTTGAAAGTATGTGGTGGCCTTTTCGACCTAGTATGACATTTTTTTGACAATGCGCAGGTTGCGAGTCGGTCTCGCGCGTAAACGCCTGACCTCTAGAACACTGAAATGGCATCCAACGGTGTTAATGTCTAGCTTTCATCAGTCCCAGCTATTGTACGATCACATCCATTGTCTTTGGTGGGTAACTACTACCTTACACCTGACACAGTTGAACACCATTGATCACGGCCTTTCACTAGAACTCCGACTATTCCCTCACCAAACTAGTCACTAGTGAGAGAGAGCACACGGTCGCATCGTGAATAGAAATGTCGAATAGCAAATGATATCAAAACTATTTTCTATACCATACTGTTAAGCTACTCTAGCCAATGACTTACGGAGTTCCATTAACCATCTTGGTTTTAGCAGCCCATAACCCTTGGTATCACGGTACCGATTGGTTTGAGTCTAGCAAATAACACCTAGGAGATCACAACTCGTTGTTTTAGTCTTTTGAAAAAATTATTGTTCTGTGCTCTATGTGAATTCGTTTTTCTTAAAGCTGATTTCTTTAATTTTCTTTTGTCGGGCATTGAGATTTATGTCCATCGTTTCACAGATATCATCTGAGACTGTATACTAGTGATATATATATTTGGTCATTTATTTTTTAGGTATCAATAATGACAGCCTATTTCGTATCAGTCTAGGTTGCGCAAATCAACAGGCTGAGTAATTGATTTCGGGGTAAATAAAATTACTGGACTGACTAGTTTCATATGTTGTCAAAGTATCTGTTAATACATTGATATATCGAACAATGAATGATGCATGTACCGATGACATGAAGGGTTATCTTTTTTGCCTGTCTGACATTTATGAGTATAAAACGGTCAGGCAGATGATACTGACACTTATTTCTTTGTTCAAGTTCTATAAACTGTACACATTTGTAGATGTCACAAACTCTGCTCACTTGTGATATAGATTACTCAAAACCGTTTGCAATGGCGCAGGTGCATTTATTCTTTGTGTTCTGTCAAATCCTAATATTCTGGATTCTTCAACACCTATAGTTTTGACTTCTAAACTTTTCTCACTGAATCATACTTCTTGAATAATATCTTCTAATCCTAACCACTCCGATTACTTCTAATACCTTAACTACCTCTTCTACTATTGGATTTGAATTGACAATTATATCTCTGTGCTAATTTGGTATGGCAACCTGAAGTGATGTACTTACGTACGAAACTCTACGTTGCATCTGACAGACTGATATAGATTATCTTTTCAAGGAATCATAGGGAGACATGAAGTAGGAATTCTTTGGCACTACAAAATGCCTAAATAATTGCTTGTTTCACACTATGCAAGCCTCATGAAAGGAATCTATGAGTTTAACGTAGAAACCGATGGAGCGCGTTAGTAATTCCTCCTTAGTTTAGTTATTTTTATGTGAGCTGAAGCAACCAGAGTGTTTTCATCGTTATCGTGTCTCATACTTATTCTTGTAGATTCTTGCTTTTTAGGCCAAACACAAACTATATCAGCGTACTGTGCATTCGTTAAACGTATCACGCTGTTTGTTTTCGAATACTGTAGAACCGGTGGTTGTCTATCATGAATAAGCGGTCAATGATGGTCTAATGAAGTAGTAGTTCTACCGTCTTGTCGGCTACAGCTGTAATCTCTAGTTATATGCATATAATGTACTTAAAGCTTTTGAGGTAAATTGGATACCATAGGAGAGTCGTAACGTCTATCTGAGAAATTATACATATGAAAATAATAAAACGGGATGTTTTTTAATTGGAGACGTTTGCGTTACGATGTTTAGCAGCACACGTTGAAATTCAGTAATTTGGCTTGTTATTCATGAGAACTAGTTTATGATTCAATAAGCCAACACTAGTACTATTACAGAGTTACTCAGTAAAATAGGAAAACCATATCGTAACCGTTAATTTGCAAATCTTCAATCCATCATCAATCCATTGTCTGACATTTCTCTTTTCATGCGTTTCATACAAATTCCATTGTGTTCCAACTCTTCCTTTCTTGATCTTCCCCCATCTTCTGCTGCCAGATATTACGTTTACACTCACGTCATATACTACTTATAAGTAGCGCGCACCACTATTACTAAATGTACGATGTCTTTTCCCAGCCTATAAAATTTGCGTCAACAAAAATATTCGCACTTTTGAAATCTGTTTCTAATCAATGTACGAGCTACTGTACATCTGTGAGTAATGAACGACGAAATATCAATGCGGCACTAACACTGCAATCAGCAAACAAATCCGACATGAAAACATACGGAAAGTGAAAAATAACTTTAGTTTTCGGTCGAAAAATTTCGCTTCGATGGGAATTTGTGATAGCAGACGTATCCGTACCTATAATCGGTATTGATTTCTTAAAGAATTTTGACTTATTAGTAGATTCTCGACGAAACCAGCTGTTGAACAGAGACCGTACAGTGGTGATAAGAGGATTAATCACTGACCACATATCTATGAATTTAGTAGTGTCAAGAGACAAAAAAGATCCATCTAAATCGCTTCTAAATGAATACGCTGGCTTGACGAAAGTGTCTTACGATAACACTGATCTAAAACATACAGTGCAACATCACATTATAACGAAAGGCGCACCTTGTAACGCGCGACCACGACGCCTTTACCCAAAAATGTTAAACATTGCAAAACAAGAATTCAACAAAATGGTGAAACTTGGTATAATACGGCCATCGAGTAGTGCCTGGGCATCTCCGTTGTATATGGTACAGAAAAAGAATGGACAGTACACACCATGTGGAGATTACAGAGCTCTTAATAAACAAACCCTTACTAATAGATCTTCAGTGCCACATATCCACGGCATTACTAACAACATGGAAGGTGCCAGTATCTTTTTGAAAATCGACCTTGTTAGAGTTTATTACCATATTCCTGTGGCGCAGGAGGATATCACGAAAACGGCCGTGATCATTCCATTCGGATTATTCGAATTTTTGCGAATGCCATTTGGATTAACTATTGCAGCTCAAACCTTCCAGAGATTCATCGATCAGGTAGTTGGAGGTTTGTCAGGCGTATATGTATACATCGACGACATACTTGTAGCTAGTGCTACAGCGGAAGAACATCTACAACAACTAAGACGATTGTTTACTAAACAACTACAAGAACACGTTATCACCATCAACGTTGAAAAATGTGAATTTGGAAAGAAATCACTGCAATTTCTAGAACACAATAAATTCTCAAGGTATCACACCAGTCTCATCAGAGGTTGCAGCTATTCGTGATTATCCGTTGCCCGAATCACAAAAGAAATTACGACGATTTATCGGACTAATTAACTACTATAGACGATTCATTTGGAACTGCGCAACAATATTGCGTACGCTTTACGAGGACGTGCCCGAACATTTCACTTGTCAGCAGACGCCATACAGGCATTCGAGAACGCTAAACGCGTGCTAAATGAAAAGACAATGTTAGTATGACGAAAAAACGAAGCTCCATTAGCCGTCATGACTGACGCGTTGAATATCGCTTTCGGAGCCGTGTTACAGCAGTTTATAAACGACAAATGGGAACCAATCTCATTTCTTTCAAAGAGATTAAGTCCCACGCAAACGTGATACAGTACGTTCCGAAGGGAACTGCTAGCAGTTTATTTGGTAATAAAGCACTTTCGACATATCCTTGAGGGTACCATTTTTACAGTGTACACAGATCATAAACCCTTCACGAAAGCATTAAACGCCAAGCACGACAACTATTCACCGAGGGAAATTCGACAACTGGAATTTATTTCCCAATTCACGTCTAGCATACAATATATTAAAGGTCATAATAACGAAGTGGTAGATGCATTATCAAGAACGATGATCAATGCTCTCATCCAACCTGACATTGACTGTCAGAAACTTACAGCATTGCAAAATATGGATGTTGAGCTAAGCAGACTAAGATCATCCAATACGACTTTTTTAGTACTTCGAGAAACTCCATTCGGCAAGGTAAACATGTGTGATATTTCTTCAGGCCTACCGCGACCGTTTATTTCGAAGCCGTTTAGACGAAAAGTTTTCGAAACTATGCATAGTTATCACATTCTGGAATTAAGGCCACAATCAGTCTGGTCAGCGAGCGTTTTTTATAGCCAAGTATGAACCGAGATGTTCGTAAATGGACACAGGCATGAATAAAATGCCAGAAAGTTTAAGTTCACCGTCACACAATTTTTTCAGTGGGTCCTTTTCATCATCCGGACAGCCTATTCGAACATATACATACCGATATTGTGGGATCATTACCAATTTCAAATGGCTTCAGTTATATTTTTACCTGTGTCGACAGATTCACGCGATGGCCTGTAGCAGTGCCCATAAAAGATATATCAGCAAAGACTATAGCTAAAACCTTAGTCGAGCATTGGATCTCATATTATGGGATGCCTGTTAGTATCCCAAGCGATAGAGGAGCCCGATTCGAAAGTCGCCTCTTCCAACAATTTACAGAACTTCTCGGCATTAAACGTATACGCACAATATCTTACCATCCGATGGCGAATGGTATGGTGGAGAGATTACACCGACAACTGAAAGCATCTCTCACAGGTGTTATCAGCAAAAATCATTGGGTCAGCAAGCTCCCATTAGTCATGTTGAGTTTAAGATCGACAATTAAACAAGATACTGGATGTTGCCCTGCAGAGTTAGTTTATGTAGCTACTCTACGTCGACCAGGAGAGTTTTCACCTGAAGTAAAAGTGTTCCAACTGATATAGCCAACTACGTACATCGTCTAAAAGAACACATGAGTGATCTTAGAATATCGCTTCCGAAGAAAGATCAACATCGCGTATTTATTCCGAAACTGAACGACAGTACCCACGTATTTATCAGAAGGGACAATGTACAACGTCCCTTACAAGAGACCTAAGATGGTCCATTTAAAGTAATAAGAAGAAATGACAAAACTATTACGATTGATAAAGCTGGAAAAACGGTTGTAGTTAGCGTCGACCGAGTCAAACCAGCTTTTATTGAATGTGACGAACAGCTGATAAGCACAAATCCTTCGAAAGCCATCGAATCGCCGAAATGAGAGTTACGACCACCAGCGACAACGACGCAGAAAAGCGAAATAAGTCCACGAACGACTAGATATAGACGAAGAGTGAGATGGCCGCAACGATTTTGAACTGATAATTTCTTTCGCCATGTCGAATAAAAAATTTCTCTTCGCTTCGCATTTGTACGTCGAAAATTTTAGTGTATTTCGAATTTTGATCTTCTGTTATTATTCAGGCTTACGAACACACACGAACTCAAAGTTACGCAAACAAGATAGCCTTTTCTTTAGCAGAATTTTGATATTTTTTTCGCAAACACAGACACTTTTGTATCCTTGTTTTCTGGGAGGGAGCTATTGTAGCACCTCACATATATTTTGTACTTTTATCATTGTTGACCTTGTATATGCATGTACGCTTGGGCATTACTTACCACCTACACATATAGTTATTTGACTAGTTTTGTCGATTAACAGTTTAAGTAATTCGATAGCAATATTGACCATACATATTTGAATTAAATTCGACATTTGTATCGATTATTAAATATTTTGAATAATAAATTGTGGCAACGACTCATGTTCCCTAGTAGCGGTCATCAAGACGGAGATATATGGAATTTCGAAGATAACGAAAGTCCAACGCCACAGGAGAATTGCATACATAATATGCAGGAAGAAGTCTGTCTTCCATATTCACAAAAAAAATCTACATACACTGAGTAGTCTTCATTACTATGACATCGTTTGCAATGGCGCAAGTGCATTCATTCGTTGAGCTCTCTCAAATCTTAATCTTTTGGAATCGTTAGCACCTCTACCTTTGTCTTGCTAACTTTATCTCACTGAATTATACTTCTTGAATAATATCTTCAAACCCTAGTCTTCTTCATTACCATTAATACCTGTACTATCTTTATCACTATGGGATTCGATTTGACATTTGCGTCCGTGTGCTCATGTGGTATGGCAACATGAACTTATGTACCTACGTCCGAAATCCTACGTTGCAACTGACTGACTGACTTCATTACTATGACTAACACATATTTTATCAACCTAAACAAACAAAAAACTACTTAATTATAGCTTCTATCGATGACAGCTGATATATTTTAATGCAGGGTAATGTTGTTTTTAGACGGAGATTTCTATCTAAAACATACTCGAAAACTGACCATTTTAAGAGAGCTGGAGTATCACTAAGTGGCTCAAGGACGGGTACACTAACGTGTAATTATTAAACGAGTGACACTGACAGGATTACATGAAAAAACGTAGATTCAGAATACGTCGATTAAGAAGCAGAGAGCATTTTTCAGTAGAAAATTTTTTTAGCTATTAAGTTATGACAATTTTTGGTTTGTTTGATAAATATCACCCAGAAATTCAAGATAAAATGACGTTTTTTTAAATAGTCTAGAGGCTCATATTAGTTACTTGAATTCCGAAGTTCATTATAAACATCAGTCAACGTACATCTATAGAGAACATAAAACCGTCTAGTTTGAGTACGAAGCAGAATCTGACAAGGGGTATATCAAATGACACACTTTTCACGTGGAAAACATATTTAATTTGAACTGATCATGGTGACTTCAGTAAAAAAGACCATATATTCGGTAAAATATCTATAAAAGTTGCTAGGAAATATTGATCGAAAAATAGACAGGTCCACAAATTGAACTACTTGAACTGATCGAAAACAGGATGCCGAAAATGCTCACGACAGCGTTCGTATATCACTTTCAACGCAGAAGTTTGAATAACTTCTTCATTCAAAAGTTCGGTTTGGAACTGTCTTAACTGAAAGTATAATCAAATAGATGAAAAAACTACCAGGCTTTGCTTATCGCGGATTTTCCGCATGACTTCTTTATTGTTTTCATTATTATTGGATTCCGATGAACGTTTAAGTACGCTTATTCTCTCAGCGGATAGATTGATGCAATGCTTGATTGCTTTAGTTCTTTGATCGTGATTCCTAAGCATCTTGTATCATTAAGAGAGACATTGTTGTGGTTACTTTATTGACAAATGTATTACACTTGCTGGCATAGTCTACTTTGTTGTGAAATGATGTTGTAGGGAGTTCTGTATTGAGTTTATTTCTCACACGGTCATCAGATTCTCTCCACAATGCGAGGAGCCTCTAGTTAATTTTTGTGAGTTCCATATCATTAAAGACAGCTTGAATATATATAACAAACTAGCTTACTGCTGATTGGAAGAAATCATCACATGGCAGCGCATCTGAACTCATTTTTCCGCCCTGACCTCCAATATCCAATATCTTTTTCACGAGCTAGTGTAAGCCAGTTTCATTTCTTCGCTCTCGATTCTTGTTTTTTCGGTACGGTTCCAAGTGTCTAGTATTGTCCAATGAATGAAGCCTAGCCATTATGATTTGTTTCCAAGTCGGAAAATGTCAAGCCCATTATGCAATATATTTTTCTGAAGCTGGTAAAAAACAGTCGATTGCTTTCAGTTTGTTTCTTGTTTTCTACTAAACTAACAATTATGAATGAGTTTGTTTCAGGGCCATAGGGCTTCTGAATACCAGCAACTATCACATTTCTAGGTCAGAGATCAGTTAGCTGCAAAAGGAGAATAATGAGAAATTAATAATGCTAATAAGAACAGGCAGTTTCCAGAATTACGTAAA